CTAAAGGAATACTGTCTTGAATTTTCTGGGTAGGTAAAGAAGGTTTCTGGTCTGGATTAGCTTCACATGAACCTGAATTTTTACCCCACACCAGAAAGTGGCAAACACTCTCCAAGCAGAGAAGTTGGCTGAAAGAAGGCAGTAAATTTGATAGAGTCCATATACATTATTCTCAAATAGCAAGCTTGACATGACAATTCTATAAACATCAGGAAGCTCTGAAACCTGTAGCCTGCCACGTTCTCAGTTTTGCTGGGAAAGAAGTGTATCTACTGACTGGAACACCACGGACCAGGGGCCCCTCTGAAATCCACCCCGGGTGAACAAGTGTCACAAGTGACACTCATTCTTTCCCAACTCCACTTGCCCTCACTCACTTAAAGCCTCTTTTCTGAGTATCTCCACTACCTACACAGAAACATCAAAAATTCTTCTTTTCACATAAACTACATGACAAGCAAACAGTGAGGGACAAATGGAGTAATGGTGTGTGCTCTACCAGCACTAGGATGGAATGGAAGATATACAGGTACCATATCCAGTCAGTGGGATATTAACTCTGACAACTGGGTAGGAAGGTGGGTGACATTCCACAGAAAAACTCATCAAAACAGATGGGAGCTGAACAGCTTATTGGAGCTGAACACTGTTCATCCTAAACTGTGCCACAAGAGAATGTAATGCTCAGGCCTTTCTATATCTTTCACTGACTATGCCAAATTTCTTGGTATTTTTTTTATATTTCTATATATTTTATATTTTTATATTTCTATATATTTTATATTTTTATTATATTTCTATATATTTTATATTTTATAATATTTCTATATATTTTATATTTTTATAATATTTCTATATATTTTATATTTTTATAATATTTCCTATTTAATTTACTGGGTTTATAAATAACAGCCTGTGCTGTAGAGCAGCTTCATTCCTAACACCTGCAGAGTTCCATTCTGGGATCAGCTGCAGCTTTTGCCCAAGTAACCTGCAGAGTCCAGAGCCTCAACACTAAATGCTGAGGAGATAACTGAAACTCTTAATTTCTTTGAGTTTGCCTCCTCTGAACTTCTGCACTGGCACCATCTCCAACCCTGGACGTTGATCAGCTCTGCAGGAACACACAGAGCAACACATTTTTGTTGTTTTGGCTGAAAACTCGTGCCAAGTGTCGAATTTCCCATTTTGTACATCAAAATAAATGGCCATTTCTGATGGAGCAAGGGGTGGCAGGGCAGGCCATCCCTCACAGTCCTGCTGGCTCTCCTGGCTTCTCCCAGCCTCCAAAGAAATAACATCCCCCAGTCTCTGTGAGAAGTTATAGCTCCTCTCTTCTGCTTTAGGCTTTTAAGAGACCCTGAGGCTGTCAGTAAAATACCCAGGATGTCAATAAATAGTAAGTTGGGTGATAATAGCATTGTCTTGGACAGGTTCCTGCTGTTGCCAAGGCAAATTCAATAGGTCTAGAGAGCTTTAGCCTTTATGTGGGAAAAAAAGAAATGATCTGATGAAGCAGCCTGAGAAAACAAAGCACAGCTCCCTGTTACTTGGATTTCAAGGATAAGTGATACTTCATATTGGAGCTGGCTGAGCTTGATATAAAAATCAATATATTTGTGAGAAACTGGAATGGCTGGAGCGTTCCCAAGGCTTTTGGATGACGTGGGCATGGCACAGCCCAGTCACACATCCTGGCTGTCCCTGCTCTCTGATGTCCAGCAGCAGACTCTTTTTGGTTCCTGTCCAGCCTGGCAGATTAGAGCTGCTGTCACTGAAATAGCACCAGGGAAGCACAGGAAAATGATTAAACTGGACAGCCTCGGGGGAAGTCTTCAGAAAGTGCTTGAACTGGGAGTTTGTAGGGACTGAATGACAGAACTGAGAGCAAGGATTTGGAATGACTTCTGGGCTCCATTGAGAAAGTAATTTCACCTGTCTGAACCTCAGATTTTCCATTTGCATACCAGTCCTGCAGTGCAATGCTCTTCCTGAGAGATACATGATCACATAAGAAGCTTTTGAAATTCTCTGTGAAATTGCATTTTTTAAGGTTATTTGGCTTGCAAACCTCAAAGGAGCAGAATCTGAAAAGGCATTGATTTCCTACAGTCCTGGACCTTAAAAGAGAGTCCTAGTTTCTCATGAATATATACATTTCTCTACTTAGACATTTTACAATCATTTATTTGCTATATGGCTTCTTAAACTGGATGGTTTTACAAGTACATGCATTAAAAATCAACATTTTTCAAGGTTAGTGACTTCTTCCTCCTGTTTTGCAATTTTTCCAGCTCTTTTTCATCTACCGAGACATTAAAAACAAAGCTCTGTAAGCTTGGTTTTAACATAAACCCAAACTGCTGCTGCAGGACAGCACACAGAAAAACATAACACTTTGGATAAGGAAGCTGAGTACAAGACACTTATTTCTCCCTGCATGTCATTTCCCATCACTTGGGATTTCAAAACTGCCAAGCAGCTACAAAGCCAAGCATCAGAGCACAGAACTTCCAGCCAGAATCAGTCCCCAGTTCCATTGGCTCAACTCCACTTGCCAAGGATGGATCCAAGGGATTGGCCTCACCCCCCTTTAAAATTGCTTATGATTTACTGGGGGCAGTTCTGAGAACGAAAGGTTGGGATGAACAACTAAATCTCCACCAAGGGCAGCAAACAACCCTATTTAAGCAAGCATAAATTGAGGTCAATTATTTATTACCTGCAGCATCTGGAACATGAGCTGTCACTCAAGGTCAACACACAAATGGTGGACAGTCACACCCAAAGAAGAAAGAAACCTAAGCTTTTTTAATTTCCATACCCTGTTGCCTTGAGTTGCTCTCACACAATACCAACTGAGTACCATCAGAGTGCAGCTGGAACTGATATAATGTCATTTCAGTAAAATAACCAAATCACTCACTTGAATAACAGACAAAGAAAGGCCAACCTAAGAAGCACAAACAAGGGGGAGACAAGATGCCTGCAGCTGAGACATGAAAGGCAAACACAGAACAGATGAAGGCCATCAAAGGACCCAAAGAGAGTGGTTTCAGGACAAAACTTCAAGATTTACACAGTTGGCTATGTACACAAACATCTGCATTCCCCAGCTACTGGAACATTCTCACTTGGATTAGCTCCACAGTCAGTTAGCATTGCATCTTGATCACAATCACACTATTTGGGATGCCATTTCAATAAAAAAATTATAGCAGAGCAGCTGAAAATGTTCTCTCCTTTTCTGCTTATGTTGCCTGGAACATGTTGTGCTCTGTGTCATACTGATCCTTAGTTCTCCTCTCAGCAACAATCCACTGTATTTCAGTGTGCCCACTGGTATTTTTTTCCACAGTGGGACAATCTAAAGGCAGCATTCAGCTTTTTTACCTGGCTCACTGATATCGAGCACCTTCAGTGGGCATGACAGGGACACATTCTCAGGATACAGCTGGATCTCTAACCACCCTTTTGGGCTATGAAAGCACTGTAAAAAAGGCATTTAAGACACAGGTCTCTCCATACACATACCTGTAACAGGGACAGTTAAGGGGCAGTTCTGCCTGGGTTAAAAAGAATTTTAGAGGGGTAGCACATAACATTCTTAGCATTTATATACACAATACACATAGAATCACACATGCACTCTCTTCATTTAGCACTGATATTCCCATTCATACTTCCACAAATGCTGATGCAAAGCAGCAATAGATGAGATTAGATCCAATGATGTAATTTAAACTGGCAAAGCAGTACCCAGATGTAACCCGACCTCCATAAACCACTTTACCCTTTGTATTTAAAGGAGTCATCATCATAAATCTTATCCCTCCTCCAACCCCAGTTATTTTAGCTGCATGCAGAAGAGGGCTCTCTATTCCAGCGCTGATATTTTTTATCTGACAAACGTATTCCATTCTGGACTCCCTGCAGTGCTGTTTCCCTGGCTGCATTCCCAGAATCCCATGCTGCATCATCTGTACAGGTTTTTTTTTTCCCCTGCTTTACTCCTCCCAAGCATCATGCCTCTTTTATTGGCTCATGAATCTCAAATTCCTTTGGATACGACTCGTCACTATTAAATTTGAGGATTTACACACCGATTAACTGCAGAACAGGATCTGTGTTTTTGTTCCTGTGAAGCATTTGTGCTGTTACAAAACCCATCATTTTCTTCCAGGGGTATATAAAGTTCTTTGAGGGTGATGTGTGTGTGGGAGGCGGGGGGGTGTTGGTTGTTTTTTTGTTTTACCAGAAATCTCTTTCTGGTTAGTAACACCGTCCTGTCACGCAGCCAAAACCTGCCGAGGCTGTGACAAATAGGGAGGTCACGGTCAAATTTAATAAGATCTCACATTCCCTTGGAAATGCCACCAGGGAGCAGACAAAAACAAGCGTTTGCTGAGCTCCTGGGGGAAAAAAAAAGCAGAGCGTTTGCACGGAAGCCCTTGGTATGCAGATGGTGTCGCTGCCTTTGGAAAGAGGCTTAGGTTGGCAAGCAATGGGAAGGAGCTCCCGGGGCTGGGGGGACAGCGCGCCCCGCGGGAGCTCAGGAGCACAAGCTCCACACGAGGGTGCGCAGGGCTGGCTCTTGGTCCTCTCGCCTGCTGCGTCCCAGAACAGCGGGATAAGCGCTCCGCTCATTCAGCAGAGGGGGGAGAGAGAGCGCTGCTGATAGACGGTGAAAACCTAACAAAGAAAGCTCTGCGTGGGATGCTATTCCCGGGCAGCGCCGGGCTGGGTGTCCGTGTGCCCCGACGGGACGGGCCACCGGCGCCACCGCCTGGCTGCTGCGGGGGGCCCTGACGGCTCCTAAACCCCACAGCTTCTCCCAGTTAAACCCACAGCTTCTCCCTGCTATCTCCATTTCACCGGCTCGCGTGCCCACTACAGCAGGTGAGTCAGGGCTGTGCTGCAGCGGGGTGACAGGGAACGCTCCGCTGGGATCTCACTCACGGCACGTGGCGCAGACCGTCCTCCAGAATCTGTGTGTGTACCTGTGCAGGGCTTCAGTCGACTCTCAGCGAGCTCGGAAATGGCTCCTGTTGTGATTGTCTTCTTCAGCCTCGAGACTCCGGGAGCTGCTGCTGCCCCGGGCTTTGTGAGCGTGTCCTCGCTGCTCGCCCGCTTCAGCTGCAACACACACGGGGAGCAACCACATCAGGACCTCCAATATCCCCACCAAGGAGTTCAAAATGCAGGGCTCCTTGGAGAAAAGGAACATTTCCATAGAGGAACCCCCTGGGAAGATTGCTTTGATAACTGTACCGCATAATTTTGGGGGTGCATTCTAGATTTTTGTGGAGTCGGTTAAGAGAGAACACTGTTCACCAGAGAAGAGTGAAAATGGGAAAGAGTGTTCAAATAGGCAAATAATTGAAAGGCAAGAGAAAACATTTTACAGGAGTAGTTTACTGGGCAGCTTTGGCTTCTCAGATCTCCCCCTGCACAGCATTCATCACATTTCCTCACTGGTTTATGTTCAGTCACTTCCTCATGACCTGTGCAGAGAAGTGCCACTTGTAGAGCTTGACATGGTGTCAAAGCACCAAATAACTGGCCCTTAATCTATCTATCAAAAAAAAAAAAAAAAGTCCTAAAGGGATCTGCTGGTTCACAAAGTTTTGCCCCAAGAGCGACTTTAGATCCTCGGAAGACACTTCTGAGCTATTCCAACAGGCAGCTGCCGGTTCCTTCTGTGTTTGACAAACAGGAGTCACCAAACTTCGTGGCACCATAAACTAAGTGATATGAGCAAAGAGCAGGCGGGAGACCAAGCTGAAATCTGAAAAATCGATTAGCTGAGAAGCTCAGGCTTATAATAAAATACAAGAGCAGGATCTAATGCAATTGCCAGTTGGAAATCCATTACCTCACACGTGACCATTGCAGCTCTTTACCTCATTGTTTACTGAAAAGTCATGAGCAAAGATGGTTGATGATCTCATGGCAGGACCTAATACTAGCTGTTCCACTAAGGACTGAAGGACTCAGGAGAAGAGAAATGGAAAAGTCTGCTCACCAAAAATGAGTTTTTGTCATTTCCTTTCAATAAGGAAATCATTCACAGCAAAAAAAAAAAAAAAAAAAATCCATCGGTTTTCAGAACAGATAAGCTGCAGAATTCTAAAGATTAATACTGATTACTTTCATAGGCTTGGAAGAAGCTTTACAGGGTATTTTACAGTATTATTTAAAAACAATATTAGCAGATATCACTATAACTTACCCAGCTTTACTGCACATGAGAATACAAGGGATCATTGCTGCTGTGTGGTCTTTTTTTGGGAAGGGATTTCTGGTAAAGCACTCTAAGTGCCTACTCAAGGAACCCATGCAACACAAGCACCAGGAAGGGAAGATTCAAGGAGAAACACTACAATTATGTTGCTTCAGCAAGCAGAAGTAGCAGTTTATCTCAGAACATGGGTCAGCTGACTTCCCAGCCTCTAATTAATTTCGGGGAAAATACTTGTGAAGCATTTTAAGACCAAAGCTTTGGAGAGTCTCCCCAGAGCAGTACATTTTCCTACCCTTTTGAGTCTGTGGACCCCCAAACCGTTTCCACAAATGAAAACCCACTTCCTTTGAAGTTGTCCAGTGATACCCAGGGGGTCCCTGAACCACAGGCTGGAAACCACTGCTGGGGTTAAAAGGAAAGAGAGCACACAACAAGCACTGTCCCTGTTTAAAGTGGTTCCTGCATGTGAAACGCTTCAGCAAAATCAAATCTCTCAACTCCAATTCTTTCCCCCTTTCATCTCTTCCTCTGACTCAGAGCCTGTGGTTTCCTGGACCCTGTGAGCACACAAGTTTCAATGGCTGGAGTGTTGATGTGCTCCAGGATACCAAACAGGGAACGTTTTGCCTTCTGGCAGAGGTTTTGTCAGCTCAGTCTTAGGAGGAGAATGGAACAACCTGACTCTCTGACCTTCAGAGCCTTCTGCACTTTCTCTAAAGTAATTTCTTCAATGTGTCCTCTCCTCCAGCAGCAACCATGGTGCCTTTTCTATTCCCTTTCCTCGAGGAAACCGCTTTGATCTTGTATTTGCAGAGGAACAACAATCTGAAGGTATTAGCAGTCACTAGGAAGAAATCTCTCTACATTTAATGCTAAATTGAACAAATTAATCATATCAGATTTCCTGATTAGTCCCTTCAGTAGCATTCCTTCAGAGATGTGTGCCTCTGCCACACAGCACACACTCCAGTGCTGGACATAACCTGCCTGGAGCTCTGGACTGAAATGATAAGTGCATTCAGGGGTCTACAGAGCAATTTAAATAAATTAACCCTTTGCTCAAGAAACTGTGACAATTAATGCAGTTTAAAGCTCCTCTTGATTAAAATGCTGCACCCTGTTACATATTGTTCACTCAATTTTACTACTGGAAACAGTTTTAAGCAGGAAGCCCATGGTCTATTTTTGTTACTGCTACTTTGGTCTGTGTTGAGATGACCAGGTTATTTCTCTTTGCTGGCTGCAAAGGCAGAGATGCAGCAACATTTTAGGTGTATTACTCCATTTTCTTAAAAATAATACTTTAACAAAGTATATTTTAAAATATAGTTGTACAGAAAGACAGGATTCATTAAAAAACATCTGTTCCATTGCAAGGAATAACTTTTGTTAATATATTTTGCCTTCAAGGGAGAGGCACAGGTTTTTAGGAATTCTGGAAATTCATGAATAAATCTCTTTGAATTTCTTTACACGTGTAACCATCAGCTGAGCTGAGAATTTGCCTGTGGGTCAGTACCTTGCTGAGCCGAGATTCAAAGGCGAGGGAAGTGGAGGACTTGGACGTCTTCATTCCTGTTGAGGTGGTGGAAAGAGATTTTCCCCTGTCAATCCCATGGCTCCCTTGCTTTGCCATTGCACTCCAAGGCCTGGCACTGCTCTTCATTTTCTTCCCAAATAACTCAGTCTACAGACCCTAAAAAAAAAAAAAAAATTGTATCTATATTAAAAATATATATACATTCACACCAAAATATAAGTTGTCTTTATGTTACCTGAAAGGAGAGCAACGGAGATATCTGGCACCAGTTTGAAGGGCTGAAAAGGTTGTGCTAAACTTGATTCCCTCTCTTATACACACCAAAACTCAGCCTAGAGAGTCCTTCAGAGCAGGCTGCAGCCACTTCTGTTTTTCATACCGACTGATAACACGAAGCACCACAGAAGGAACATTGATTTTTGTTGTGACTGTCTCAGTGAGAGACTTCTATCAGGCACAGAACACCTGAGAACGCTGAAGCACAGTGAAAGAGTGAGAACACACTGAAGTCCACAGCAATTGAAAACAACCTTGGGATAAAGAGAAAATTATTTCTTTTACTGTTATAGCCAGCATTTTCAACTGAATTAATACTCACTATTTAAAAGTCACATGAGAAGCGAGTTTCCCCAGATGGAAAATATAAAATCTCTAACTTATCAGAGTCTTCTAGAGAAGCAGCAGTTGATGTTGCCACAGTGATAAAGAGATGTTTTCCAATACTAAAATTTACAAAACACGGTAAAAAAATAATCAACTTCCCTGCAAACCAAGATCCAGATCCACTATTCCTCAGAGATGTGCTTATGCAAGAGAGAAATCCTGCCAGGAATCAGCAAATAGGCGCAATTTCCTTTTTTTGGATATAGCTGAATACATTGAATGTGCCAGCAGGAACAACTAGCCTGTTTCTCTCAGCAGGCTGACAGCTGCCAATTAAACAGCTCCCTCAACTCCTGGAGATCCAAAGCCATAAATTTTCAGCGGTCGTTGCCCAATCCAAACCACGAGCAGAAGAAAAGAATTATATGGATATTTTTTTTGAAGTCCCAGCAGCCTGCTGGGCTGGGAGTGGGAGGGAGGGGAGATTGCTTGATAACTCCTGCCCTCCTCCACTTCAGGATGAGCAACACTTTTCCTCGTTTTCCAAAATAGACACAGGATGTAGCTGTGGATCAGTCTCGTGTAGGCAGAGGCCAACCTGCTTCTTGGCTGTTAAGCAGGTAACCAGAATATCTGCACAGCTCAGCCCAGTGCTCACAGGAGGAGTCCAGCTGGGCTGGTGGCAGCCTGGGCAGTGAACCCTTCAAACAGAGGGGCTGGAACAATTTATTCCTGGCTGAGTCAGTAGGAGGGCTTGGGTGGCATTTTACATCTCATCATTTGCTCTGTACTTCGTTTCACATTCACGGATGAGAACACTCCGTGAACTCCCAGGACACAAACCCCCTGTCTGGGTGTGTTGGACAGTGACAGCACCCTCCAGGTGCCACCACAGCCCACTCAGGGGGTGGGGGACAGTGACAGCACCCTCCAGGTGCCACCACAGCCCACTCAGGGGGTGTCTGCTGCCCAGAGGCAGCAGGGGATGCCAGGTGCTCTGCTGCTGCTTGCCAGAGAACAAAGCCAGCAGGTGACATCCCCTCCACTCGTCCTTGGTGCCTCTCACAGGGGGGCTGTCTCCTCTCTCCACAGCAATAACCTCTCAGCTCCTAAATAAAGGAATAAAGGAGTTGGTAGTTATTGCTAAGTATAGTCATTACTCCATTAAAATTCTTAACACATCCAGTGTGGAGCCATCCCCTGATCTCATTAGAGGCTTTGTTGGTGATTATGCTGATCACTTGGCTGTTTTAAAGCCCTGGCAGATATGTAAACTGCACTACAATAGATAATAATGTTTAGTGTTCCCACAGCTCACGAGCCACCCCAGCAAACTCTGGTGCTCTACAGTATTTAAAAACCTATCATTTAACAGGCTTTTTATCTTTTTAACGGCCTTTTAACACTCACTGCATTTATATGGGTGAGCAAGCAACTACACAAGCAAATTCTCTTCCTGATTAGATCTCCAAATTATGCAGATTTTGGCTTTTTTTTCAGATCCAGCGGTTGCTCCTACATTTTGCTTTGTTATACCCTCTGGATTTCCTCATAACTATACCTCATATTTTCCTGCCTTAAGCTGTACAGATGCTTTCTTGATATACCAAAGAATTTAATTTTGAGCCATCCATAACATCCATAAGTTGCAGTGGAGTGATATGCTCGTTAGACCATGATAGAAGAAATAGGTACTTAAAAAAAACAACAACATAACTCTAGAAATCCAGCCAGTAGCCTGAGGCAAACTGGCTTTTTCATGTAAAAATACCTGAATTATGTGCCATGTGGATTTAATAATATTTTACTACACTGAGCAGATGAAACTAAAATGGAGAAGAAATACCTGGATTTATTGGTGTTTATTATTAGTTTTCTGTGTCTTTCTGTGAGAACCAGCATTTGTAAAAGATGGAGGTGAGACCTCTCAGGTATTTGGCTAAGCTGAATTTGCCTTGTAGATAAAAGATTTCCAAGACTTTCCACAAGCCTTATATGTACTTCAAAGAATAAAGCCAGGCTGCACTCATCCTAAGCTGCTTTCACTCCTAAGTAGGTGACACATTTTTGAGTTATTAGAAGTACTGCTTCAGGAGTAGTACTAAGTAAAACTACTTTAAAAAAAAATTAAAAATAAAAGGTTGGGGGGGGAAAGTCCTGCTGCTCTTTAATGAGAGCAGGAAACCCATTCTGAGAGTCAACATCAGCTTTCCCTCTCCAAAGTCAATTTATTGCCTTAGAGTAAAACAAACAAAACAAAAAGCTCCATGGAAGTTGTGAGCAGTTGGGACAGGGGGAAACCCAGAAGTTCAGCATCATGAAAAGGCAGGCAAGTAACAGGGAACTGACAACCAAAATACAGCTTTAGATACCCCAAATGGCTGCAGCCACTCAGCAACTGGGAAAGCCAACATTAGCAAAGGGCTTTCTGTAATCCTGGGGTAGAAACTTCACACATAGGGACAGCTTATAGTAGATCATATTTAAAAACATCAGAAACAGCTCTTATCTACTTGTCTTGGAAGTAACTCTACTGTATTTTAACTAAATATCAGCATTTCCTTCCCCAAGGACTGCAGAGGGATTATGAGTTATCTCCAGGCTACCCAGAGAGAAACTTTAAAGAGAAGCATCTTCCCCCAAGGGACACAACCAAGCTGCCTCTGCAAACACAGCAACAAAAGTCACTGGTTTACACCCATTCTGTCACAAGAGGTTTCAGATGAGACACATTTCTGTCCCCTCTCACGGAAAAGGACTCGCTCCAAGCAACACCTGTTGTGCTCTGTGGTTTTATTTTTCATTTCTTCACGTTCCACTGGGAGTTTTCCTTAGGAAGCAAACAGAATTCCACCACCCTGAGATTCAGAGCCTTTCTCCAGCATCAGCCAGAGCAGGTCACAGTCACTGCCTGGCCACCATGAAACCCCTGCAGCATTCCCCACCTGGAAAACACAAGGGAGCAACTCCATGCTGGAATAAACGATGGCTCGAGGCAATGTGTTGCTTCAGAGCAGCAAAATCAGTCCTGTTGCCACTCACTTCCAAACTGCAGACTTGGTTTGTTTGGTTTGTTTAAATCTTTTACACTCAGAAGTGGTGTCTGGACACCCCTCTCCTCTGAAACAGGTGCTGCAAATGAGATAAATCAGAGGGTTTACCAAAATGTAAAGCTGGTCCTGACAGAGCTTTTTCTCTCAGTAATCCTCTGAATTCCCTGCAGGCATCAGTGTTTAAACATTCAGGCCATGCTATGCAGTTCATTTTTCTTACTGGTATTTTTAAAGGGTGTTTGGAATATTTTAATGTGGACTTATTTTGGCAGTTGGCAGAAGTTTTACAGTCCATTTTACTTGAAATTTTACTGTTATATTACAGACTAGGAACCTAGACACTTCTTTATTAATCAGTCTACATGCATTTATTAATAGAAGTTTTTGGAACCAGTCTAGAATAATCCCCATTTTATGGCTAGAAAAACTGGATTAAGACTTTATCCTAACTCACAGGCAGGCAGCAGCAGCAGAAACAACACCAGGTCTCTGGGACCTTTAGGCTTGGCTCTCCATCAAAGGAAGAATTCACCAGTTCTGTAGAACAAACTTACAGGATACACATTCTGCTGACTATTAAAGGCTACTTTATTCTGAATAACTAAAAGGAACAGAGAGGTTGATGATGAGCAATATTATTTCACAGTCAAGAAACCCGGGAGTTGCACTATTAAGTAAATAAAAATCACTGGCATATCTGCAGACATTAAATTACGTAGGAAAAGCCCTTTTGAGGGGCTAGAGATGGAAATTATCTGTACCCCGGGTCCTTCACACAGTTTAGGTTTGCTGCCCGTGTCTGTGTGTGACAACAGAACAGCCAAATTAAAGCAGAGTCACACAGGCTGCTTGGGGACAGTCAATGAAATAAAGGAGTATGAAAAGCCATTACTAAATCTGGAGAGCAATGTGCCAGATGGCAGGTTCACAGAGAGCTGGGAATGCCCAGCACTTGTGAAGAACGAGGCCAGAAGTACCAGCTTTGCAGCTAAAGAGCCTCAAAGGACAGGAGTCTGACTTTGGTGGCTTAAACCCCACAGTCCCCTGTGCCACTTCCCTGGAATTCGGTTCCTTTTCATCACAGCAAAAGGTCAGACTCTTCCAGAAGCTTTATTACACTTTCTTGTGAAATCAAAGCATGATTTATTTTTTTTTTAATGTAAAATCTGCATCATGCTTATATTATTTCCCTTCTAATCAACTTCTGCTATTTTCAGACAAACTATCAACTGGAACATAGAAATATCTAACAAGTTCAGTAAACTGTAAAGCATTTTCTGGTGGCACGTAGGAAGCTCTATGGCAGGAGAGACAGCTGGGCTAAAATAGAATTCTTTTCTGCCTTTCACATCAATTAACTTTAAACAACAATTTTTAGGCCTGACAGATGCTTCCATATGACTCATCTTGATTTCTTAACTGATATTAGGAATCAAAGCAGGGGAGCTGATAGTCCAAATACAGTCACTGGTAACTCGTAGACGAGATGGCAGGGAGAAAAATCCAGGTGGGAATAACATCAGGCTAACAAATAAAAACAAGCTGTTTAATCTTTTGGTCACCTTCAGCAGCTTTCCTCACACATCTGCTCCTTCCTCCCCAGTGTGAAATATTCCTGTAACTATCTACCCTCCCTTTTTCCTAATTTCTGTCACCTTGCTTGTAGAGTCTTTGAGGCTCTCAGTGCAACCTTCCTCCATTGCTGCTCCAAGCAGACACACTGGCTGGATCTTTGCTGGTACAAAGCTTAGCAGTCATTAGAATGAAATTAAAAAACCCACAAAAAGCCCCAAACAAACAAGCCAGACCACCCTCCTCCACCCAAACACAACCCAAAAATAGAGGAAAAAAAAACCATTTCCCAAAACCTCATCTCTAAGGCTTTTCTTGCTTTTGGTGCCCAAAGGAAGGGAATCAATCACAAACCTGACCCCGAACACTGAGCAGTTTCCTCAGGTTCTGCCTCAGCAAACCTGCTTTCCAATCTCATTTGCAGCTGAATTTTCATGTTTTGCTGGTGAAGTACCAGGAGACAAAACATCACTGGGAAATTTTCATGTCCAGACAGCAGGGCAGATTCTGCTGGTTTCATGCATGCCTCAAGCAAAGGTGGGTTTAGAGTGGTTATTATTATTTTTTAACTTAAAAAAAAAAAGTGCTACAATAATACAGCAAGGCAGCTGCAGAATCCACGTGATTTTGCAAGGAGTGAAAAATGATGATAAATTTTAGATACAAACCAACTACATAGAAATTAAGACACATTAAATGCCCAAGGTCACCCATCGAGTCATTGGGAAAATATCAGTCCCAGGATTTGACCATCAGTGGCTCTGATACAGCTACAGAGTCCTCTCTTCAAAACCTTCCCTGTGCTAAGGCTGCCTGAAGGTTGCACCCCATAGGAAAATTACTCTTTTGGGTTGCAGATTGCTTTGCCTTTTTGCTTTCATTGTGCTTCTGTAGAACTCTTAAACCTCAAAAGAGCTCTTTAAATGTGGCACCAGATGAGAATTGTCTTTGCAGGGCACATGGCTCTACCTCTGCTGCACAATGAACTCCTGCAGGGCCAGTTCCTTTCCTTGCCCCCATGGCACCAGATGGAAACACAGAGATCATGGAAACCCCCCTGGAAGCTCCCAAAGACAGTTATTTTATTTGTGGTTATGCTGGTAAGAGACCAGCTCCCATCTTGTGTTAAGGCTTTTCTTGCTTATTTTTCAGTGTGTTTTCAATAAATCTCTACAATTAGTATTTATTAAGTGGTATACAAATGGACTGGGAGGTTACAAGGGTGTCAAAACTCCACCAGAGATGGCCAAGGTGAGGACAGTCCCAGCTGGCCACACGTGACAGGTTTCCAGTCCATCTGCCAGAGGCCAGGTCAGCAACTGCCAAACCCCCTGTCTCAACACTGCTCAAAATAAAATCCTCTTCCCACAGCAACCAGTAGAGTCATTGATGGATTTTCCAGGCCTGGAGAGCAGTGCAAAAACCTCCTGCCTGCCCTCCTCCACAGAAGGTCTCCCTGGGGTTTTGGATTTGTCAGCCTTTCTCTCAGAGTTAGGTCACGTGAGAAAAATGCAGAAATTACAGCAAAATCCCCATGTGTGCAAAGGGACAAAGAGTGGATTTAGCTGCATTTCTCTTGCCTTTGTCCCACACTACTGGCCATTTGTAAGGCAGGAAAATACAGATCCCTTTGCTACTTCTCTGAAACTGTCCTCCAACCCAGTGACCAAAGCTTGAAACCCAAGCCAAAGCTGCACTTGGAGATGTCTGGGAACATGCTCTTCCTGTAGCTTAAATTACACTGTTTGAATGTGGATTCTCAATCTGCTCCTCCTCCTCCTTCCTCACACTGATTATCTAACCACTCACCACCACACAGCTCCGAAGAGAAGCTGTGCTACCACCTCCTAATGACCCCTGATCTTACAAACACGAGGATAATGAGACAAAAATCCCAAGCTATCTGTAATTTTCTACAAATTAGCAGCGGTGTGGCAATTCCGAATCACGTTCATCACATTCCTGACGGATGCACACAAGGAAAAACACAACTGGAAGGGCTGGGTGGCAACAGGCAGAAAGACAGGCAGGGGCAGCACATTCTCCTACTGGGAAAGGGCACATGAAAGCATCTGGTGGTGGGAGGAATACACAGAGGTTCTGCAAGGAATTCCCAGTTTTATCAAGTCACAGCAAAACTATATCCAGGAAGTGATGCCACACCAGAGAATTTGGAGAACGCATTTTTTTAAGTGGTAGCTCCCTCAGTACTTTGATGTATGGCAGGCAGGGAAAATGTATCAGTTTACACAGTGCTAAAATCCATCCTTTGGAGACTGAAATCAAAGGAAAGATTCAGGAAGGCTAAAAATGATGCATTGATTCCAAAAGCCCTTTCTGAATTTACAACCATGTTGTGTTACAAAGAATTAGGTCACTCAGGGCTTTCCCCAACACGACTCTGTCCTGAATAGATGGGTTTCATTTATGTGGAGGATGTTGCAGGTTGAGAACAAAACATTTCAGAACCATTTCAAGGCAGCTATTGCTCACTCATCCAGTCTCTTTGAACCACTGTCCCAGCGAACACAGCACAAAGCAAGTGACACACACATGGTCACTTCATGTTTTGCCAAGCCACAAGAAGGAAGAAAAGAAGGCTGCGTTTCAGATAGAGCAAGAGCTACATAATTGCTGAAGAAATTAAGAATAATTACAAGTGGCTTGCCTAATAATTAACTGTCATTACATTTTTTTTTTTTTCTGTAGCATAGAGGGTAGATCCATCTACAAGAAAGGGAATGAGCATGGATTTTTGGAAGGGCAGAGGGTGCACAGCCTGTGGCTGCGTGGTTATCCTGACTGGTACCTGCACAGACTGGCACCCTCCCTGTCCCCTCAAAGCTCAGAGGGATGATATTGCAGGCAATGTGTTCTCTTGGAATTCCACCTGATTCTACCCTCAGCTCCAGCACAAGGTTGTTGTACCCCCCTCAGCCCTGTAAACCTTCCTGTGCCTTAGTTTTTCCATTTGTAAAAACAGGATAATAATTGTTCATTAATAGAATATTTGTGATGGTGTATTCACTCATTTGCCTTGGGAAGGAACCCCACAGAAAAAGAAGCAAAAAATGAGATAAATCAACATCTGTTCCACAGCAGCAAGTGAGCAGCCTCACAGATTGCCACATGCTGGGATGTTTCCCTGGCTCCCGCTTTCCATCCATCACAATGCAGAGAAATAATTGAGATCCAGAAGCTATCCCTTGAGGAGATATTTATCTCCCATTAAAAGTGCAGAACAGCTCACTTGAAGTTAATAAACTGGGATTTTCTGAGCGTTTATGAGTGACAGTGCGTGAACTCCCAACAGCAAGGGCTCTGTGCAGAGATGAGGACACAATCGCCAGAGCTGCAGGAGAAACCAGAGGACTTCTGCTTTTTAAAAATATTCATAACGAGCAGGAACAGAACAGATGGAAGAAACAGCACCAACAGTTTACAACTGTGACTCTGGTGGCCGCTGGTGGACTGGATAACCCACCTTGGTGGGCTACATAATGCAGTGAAATGGGTTTAAAGTGAGCAGGGAAGGGAAGGGGAGGCACATACATGTGTGCATGTTGGGATGGGGTATTTGGTGTGTTAGTTACCTGTCAAACTGTGCAAACAACACCATTTCAGCAAATCAAATACCCTCTCTCCTCCTGAGCTCACAGGGGCAGAGAACACTTTCTAATTGAGAAAGAGAATCATCCAAAACAGAAAGGATTATTAAGGCACATACAGAATTTAGACTGTCTGCAAGAGAAAGGGGTAGAGAATCCCTGTTTTCAAACCAGTTCTACCAGTCATCCTTTACTGCTACACATACAGGGCTTAATTAACATCTCTACAACTTTGCCACATTACCTGCTATATAAATGCTGTTATTATTACAATTGTTGTTATGATCAAGCTTCAGTCCACAGCACAATTTGAAGGACAACTGTTAAACTGCTGTAATTAAAGGGTCCTGCTGAGAGCCCGAGCAGCTCCTCACCGTGGTGCTGTAAGAGGGTACCTGTGCTCCCCAGTGCTTCCCTCATCCCCTGCAGAGGCTCGAGCTGCCAAACACACTCCCTTGGCCCTTTCCTGACTGGACTGTGTGCACATGCAGCACCACAGGAGTGTCTGCTCGTGCTGCTGCTTCACTTCACTGTCTGAGAACGACCGTAAATTGCCAGAGGAGAAAGCAGAAACGGGCACAGAAACAGCTTCAACCCTTCTGTCACTAAATCTGTGTGGCTGAGCAGAGTGAAATACAGTAGCCACCTCTCATGGAAGGATTTCTTCTTGTGGTTGTAATGGCTTTCAGCCCTCCCCCTCATATCTCATTTTCTGCTAACACTGATTGAATCAAAAAATGTACAGTGTAAACAATCTAATTTTAGAGTGAGATACTACGAAAAAAGTGTTGTTGAGCAAAGCAGGTCCTTTCACTCCAAGAACACATCACTGACCCAAGAGTCCTTCTAGAGATTAATACAGTTCCCACCTTAAAAAAATAATTTAAAAAAATTATTAAAATACTTACAGTAAAAGCTTGTCCTCTTTTCTGCATTAAAAAGAAAACTGTCTCCCACTAGCTTCTGACAGCATGTGCAAGCCAGACTGAAAATTCAGAGCTTGAGTGCTTCCCTGAGAGGAAAACCACATTGCAGTGAGACACAGAGAGCTGCTTGAGAAATGATTCACATACGGAAGCAGGCTGGCTGCACCGGCACTCAGCACACACACACACATATGCACACTTGCTTACTCAGGGGAATGACAAATATTACATTTTCATCAAAGCAAGGAGGGTTTATGCAAGAAAGTCATTTGTATCCTCCGTACAAAGCACTGAGGTGCCTCAATCCTTAGGGCAGATGAAGAGTTTCTTTGGGGATCCCGTCAGCCCAGCGGCAGAGCTGGACACTGGCACGAACAGAGCACGAACCCTGGCTGGGCTGATTGATCCAATCCAGCAGAAAATTGCAGCACACAGCCAGGGAGGAAGGGCAAGGAGGTGGCACAGAGAGAAGGCATTTTTCAGAGCAAAACACAGAAGCAGCTTCCAGAAGCTTTGACATTCCACAGTCATAATAATCTTTCCCCTACAGTGCCAGCAATCACAGCCAGGACACCTTGTGACATTTCCCTTGTCTCCATCATGGCTCAAAAAAGTGGAAAAGTGTGTGTGTGTGTGTGCAGGGAAGGAAGATACATTAAGACAGAAGCTTTTACACAAGTAACTAGAATCAGTCCTGAGTGACTTCTCTTGAGCTGTCCAAAAAGGGTCAACCTGTTCTTTATTTGGAAGAGAGCAAATAAGGGACAGGAGCGAACAATGCTCAAGAACATTCCTCTTTCTTAAGCTTTCTGAAGAGAATTTAGTGTTTGAAAACAGGAAGAAAAAGGCCAGAGATCTTAAGAGAGTCAAAGAAGACAAAGATAGCATCAAGTTGAAGGAGACAGAGGGGATGCAAAGATAAATCAAATTTCAAGAACAGAAACCTAAGGTGTTTAGAACTGGGCCCTTTGTCTAACTCTGCCCAGAGAGGGTGCTGGTCAGTCCCTGGTGTCTCTGACCCAAGACATTCACAGACTGTGACTGCAGATCAGGAATTCTGTCCTGAACTGGAGAGAGGGATCTCTCCCAGCAGCATGAACCTGGAATATAAACCATGTTGGTGCTACAGTAGTAACCTCCTGTAGAGAAACAGGGAAGATTTACAACATTAAATAAGTGTTGCTGGATCTGAAGAGTCCAACCTTAGCTCATCCCCTGGAGCTCCTTATTCCAGGTGCCAAAGGGGCCTGAAGGGAGCTAATGTTATGCCAAGAGTAAATTTAAGTTTCAGTTCAGCATTGGCACTACTGTTATCCCAGAGTAACCAAACCTTAAGACTGAGGCCAAGCCAAATCCCTCTGAAGATTATGGATTTGGGATCCAGCTTTCTGATTTAAGAGCGAGGAACTCTTGCCTGCAGATCTCAAAACACCAGAACAAGAAACAGAGCACACAGTGATTTATTTACCACGTGATAATGCCCTGTGTTTGGCAGGTCTCAAGCAAACATCACTATCTGTCAGTCCCTGAACATTCAACCAGGTGCCATTCCAAGTTTGCCAACATCCAAAGTACCAATCCTTCCATCCAGCCTACTTTGGCAGTTGCCTCACTACCCCAGGACAGACTGCAGAATTTACCCAGTCCATATTTTTACACATTTAACATTTAGAGTTTCTGAGACTATTCACAGCTCAGATAAGGAGGAAGTTCTTGTAGATACTCGATCTGCATGCCCTGCGTTTCTCCTCCCCAGGAAGTGACCCGACATTCCCTAACACATGCATAGGCAATGAGGTCACTTAGGTGGTGCAGGGACTGTGAGTCACTCCCTCTGCTGGGATCGTGGACCACCTTCCAAACCAGAACCAATGCAGCTGGAAAACAACCACTGCAGGTGCCTGGACACAGAACTCACAGACAGGAGGGACAGCACTTGCAGAAACCTCGCTGAAAAGCTGCTTTGACTGAGGAAGAACAGAACACTTTTTGGACAGCAGAACGGTGACTCTGCCACTGCTGGTGAGCTGGGATGGGCTCAGAGGGACAGCAGCGCCACAGGGTTTCCTGTCCTTCAGCCAAGAGAAATAAAGGACTGAAAGGAGGGGAGCAGGGAGGGAGGATGAGCTGCTGGATTTCACTCTCAAATATATTTTTTGCTAGATTTGACAAATATAACTCGACCCAAATCTAAAAATGAAATGCTTGGGCATAAGGAGACAGTCACAGCATTTACATGCCTCAGCTTGGGTAGACAGCCTGAAATAGTGGTGGAGAATTTCCCCAAACCCAAGAAGACCAGACAGTATATTTGTTTATTTAGAGGTTTTCTGGTAGCACTTATGGCTATAATTATCTGATCCCTTTACTTACACCAAAGATTTATTCAGCACAAAGCCATCTGAATTGAAAAATTGCCTTTCTGTTTAAAGAACAAACAGCCCAGAAAACAAACAGCTCAACTGAGTTGCCAGGCTCATCAAGAAAGCCTGTGGCCTGTCCAGGGCCTCAACCATAATTACTTTCACACAGCCAGGGTGAGAAAACAATTTCAAGGAGCCACATAAACTTTTTTTTAAAGTATCTGCCAGGTTCTCACCCAGCTGGTGAATTCAGCTGACAGACGAAGTAACAGTGAACATATTGCCTGCATTCTGCTCAATCCACTTGCTCCCCCAGTTCTGCAACAAGGTATGGGAGAAGAAGATCAAACCTCATTAATCAAGACACCTCTAAAATGCTGCACTTGAGGAATTTAAAGGCTTTGTGCTGCAAACTGCGTTACCTGTGCCACTTCACGAGGACAAATATGGATGAGACAACTTGATGAAACGGGCAAAGGGCAGAATTTTGAGTGGGCCAGCTCATTTGAGAAGCAAATGCACAGAGCGGGGGAAAAAAGGCCTGCACAAGGAACAAGATTTAAAATATCTTTGCATTTAGAGACATTTCTGCCATATTTAACTGCTTTTGTGCATGAAACAATCTTTAATTACAAAGGACAGAAATTCCATAAAGAGGGCCATTATGTCAGTAACAATGCCTTTCTAAAGCAAGTCTCTAATTCAGTTTTAAGGTTGGAACGCTGCTGTCTGGAGTTATAAAACCAAAAGTAATTACAAAGGAAAGTCTGCCTCAGCCAGTGGGTATTAGTGGAGTCAGGCCATGGCTTTGGGACAGCATTTACTCTCTGCTTTCCTCCTTTTTGGACATAACTGATACAAACTTCTCTGTTTTCTCAGTTGCAGGGCAGATGTCGGGAAGTTGATGCCGTTAGTGGACATTTGCAGGATGAATCATGGGGCACCACTTTCCATCTGGACAAAAACAACTGCTGTTCAGTCAACACGATGATGCTGATCAAGTGGGTGGGTGCAACGAGTGAACTCCTGCAACTGCTGCCAAAAAGGCTCCACCAGCACAAGAAATCTGCGTGTGCTGACTCGGAGAACTTGGATTTATTTTTATTTTCCCTGTTCTTAAGAGACTTCTCACAGTTTCATGTTCCCACTCCTACACCTGAGGGGCTCAGCCTGGCCACCAGCTTTGACCTGCCACTAGAGAAAATATTTGTTGTTGGAAAAGACTAGATTAAATAAACTGGGGAGGGGAAAAAGGCAGATATGTTTTATGGAACATGAAGTGCTATAGGAGACAAGAAAAACAGCTTCTCCTGGTGCCTATTGCCAAAATTTCAGAAGACCAGACAACAACTTTAAAATTTCCAAGGGAACAGCCACTAAGTGAGTCAAAAATAGAATTAGGAAACTGCCTGTTTCAAAAGTAAGAGTCTGCAAGATGTGCCAGCATTTTTCAGAATTTCTGTCATTTCTGAGAACACTGAAGAGTTAACACACATCTACCAAAAAAAAAAAAAAGTCAACCCACAGAAAAAGGCAAAATGAGAAGGGAAATCTATGTAGTGAAGGAATACTCATCGTACCCCCTATATTTAAAATAAAAGTCTCTGATCACTTTTGCACACATTCATCCAAATGCTTATTTTTCTCTGCAGTTTTCAAGTGTCTGCTCTTCCTTAGGCATCAGATACAGCAACAAACCAAGGACAGCTTCACTGCAGTCACCCTGCTATTCAAAATCAGTCTGGATAAATCTACACATGCAAAAAAGGCAATACTCAGTGCTCTTCCCTGAACAAGTAAAAATTTATGCGTCCTTTTTTATTTAACTGAATTTTTTTTTTTATTTCAACGACTAAATGTGAGACTTAAAGGGGGTATCTTTATATTTTATTATTCCTCACTGTTAGTTTTCTGATATATAGGTTATAACGTGGCATTCATTAACAATTCATAGAGAATTACCATATTTTAATTCCCATATAATAAGTCAGCACTTTTGAAAAAGTCATGCACGTTGTTGTACAGAGGCACCCAGAAAACTCAGCATAAGAGTTTGGCTTTGATGATGTAATCAAATTCAGAAAAAAGGGAGAACCTAAATTAATGTTCAGCAATTCCTTCCTTCTAGACAGCTTGTATGAACAAACATGTTTGCTGCTGCTGCTTGAACTTTTAAATCAGCTTAACAGACTTGAGAAATGTAAAGCTGAAGCTGGAAGTACCCAAACACTGAGATCCTCCCAGCATTAACCACAATGCTCCAGAAGAACCATTAAGAAACGAGTAGTGGTACAATGCAAGCAAATTCCCTTCTGAGACCCAAGTTCTGCTTTCAACACTTCTTATGAAATGATTTCCTTGGATTTCTTGGTTAGTAACCACAACCACTTTGGATTTTAAAATGCTCAGTCCGAATTTGGCATGGAATAAACCTGATAACTGCAATCGACTGCAAGCATCTTGAAGCTCAGCAAAAAAAGGATCTCACTATGTGGCTCACGAGGCAAGTGAGGACAAATATCAACCCTTTATCAGCATGAGCTCACCCTGCAGCAGAACTGGGACATCAGAGGTGCACAGATCCTCTGGCTCTGCCCTGTCAGTTGTCCCCACACGCAGAAGAGAAAGCAGATGCAGATTGCTCCTCTCCTCGAGGTCCCATTTCCCTGTGCAGAACAGCCCGTTACAGAACGGGATCCTCCCTCACCAAAAAGGCAGGAGGCCTAAATGCCAAAAGCAGGAGGCACAGCAAGTGGG